ATCAAAAACCTTAAATATTTTATGCTGGTTCGTTGCTATAAATTGTTATTGCGCTATATATTTAATGTTTATAAATTATGAATATTTATTATTTCAATCAAGACTCTGATAAAAAAATGTTTTACATTAATTACCCGTAAAAAATTAGTAAAAGCATTTTTATTTGGTTAGATAATATTTCGTCTCAATTTGCTTTGCATGAAGTTCGGGAAGTCAAGCGAAAAAAATTAGTTTGAATAATCATTTTGAAATATATTTAAAACATATTATTTTAATGAAGGGGGTTTAAAAGTTTTTATAACATATGTTGGTAAAAAATAAATAATTAAATAAAAAGTTCAAGATTAAAACATCATTTCTTTATTATATTGCAACTGTAAATATTGAAATATTAACTTGAACTAAATTTACTTATTATTTAGAACGACTAAGCAATAAATATAAAAAGCCCCTAAAATTATGCGATATTGTGTTGTTTATTTGATAATTGCTGTTGTTATTGTTGTTTATGTTGATTATTTCATTAATATCAAAATAGCCCCAGGTTAATCTGTTAGTTGCTTTGTTCATTGTTGCTTTATTTCTAATTTAATTTTATCTCTAAGTATAAATTTATGTTAAGAAAGAAAAGTTTTTATTTCATCGCTCGCTCTTTTTATAAAAGAGTAGAACAAAAGAGAAAGAAAAGTTTTGCGTAATTAAACTTCGAATGAAAAAAAGAGTTGTATAGAATTTTTTTTTTTTTTTTTTTGCGTCACTCGTTCTTTTTTTAGATGAGAGAAATAAAAGTTTAATAGTAACTTTTCTTTGAATAAATGAAAATTGGAAGAGAAAATTGCTTGAAAATTTGTATTTGTTGTGTTTTAAAATTTTTCATGTTAAGAGACAAACGCCAAATACAATACAAATTGGGAAATACCTAATATAATATGTTTTTCAACGCGCGTTATGACATTTTGACAATTTAAATTACCATTATATCTTGAATTATTGCCATTAATTAATGTGTTAATTATTGCGTTATATAAAAATAATTTGTCCGTATTTTTGTTAAATATTAGTTGTATAAAACGGGCGAAAATACCAAACCTCATGTTTTTATTTGATGGTTATAAAATATTGAACAGTAAACTAATACTCAAAATTTATAATGCCGATTTGTGTTGTTATTAATTGTACTTTTAATGCAAAACCAAGATCTCACAAATCCTTTCACGAATTTGCATATCTGATACTACTGTCAACTGTATTGTTTAGTGTATTCTTGTATTTTTTTTCATAACCTTAACAGGTTCTAATTGGTATGGAGTTGCCGACATTTTGAAAGTTTCATTATCAAAAATCAAATGTAAAATAAAATGATATTTTCTTTTTATCCGTATCCAATTTAGCAAATTTAGCAATTTAAAATAAATCAGCGTAATCAAAAAATTTTTATAATAAAAAAAGTTAACAATTCATCATATATCTCTAATTAATACTGTCAGCTTATGAAATTAATTGTTAATACTTTTTTTCGACGGGAAAACAAAAAATATCATAGCGTAAAAATAATTAGAGAAGTTAGAAAAAAGTTCCGATTGTTTAAATAAAAATAAGTAAGATTCAGAATATATAATACTGCGCTCTCTTGCACAAAAACGAGAGATCGTATACATAACGTTCTATATAATGTTAAACACTTGTATGAAAATCATAAGATTCGTAAGTAAAGCTTTAATATTTGTTTTAATTTAAAAACAAAAGAAATAGATATATAAATCGAAAAATTATTAAGATATCTGTAAAAAACAAGTTGCTCCTATAAAAAAAAAAAAATTATCATTTTTCCTTTTTACAAATTTTTTTTTTTGCGATGTTTAGAAAAAAAATACAAATAAATTTGTTTTGCTGTATATTAAAAAAATACTACAGTAGAAAAACGCAGCTTAGTTTAATTACACTTTCCTTTTGTTAAAAGTCTACCGTGACGTCAAATACTAAAACTTTTATGAATTAAACGCGCTTCAAAGGAATTGCCAAAGTCTGTAGATTGCGACGCATAATTTGAAGACTCCGATTTATTGGAAAAAATGGAGAAGGCGAGCTTCAGCAAAAACAACAACATTTGTTTTTCACGGTATGCATTTATTATTTATTTTTATTCAACACTATATTTTCCCATTAATAAACAAACCGATCCAAGTAACATCAAATTCAAACAACACAGTAGACAATATATTGACTAATTTAACAATTCATCAATAAAAGTAGGAATAATCGAGACAGATATATCCAATCACTTTCCAATTTTTACTTTTTACTAAGATACAAAAACTATTTAATCTAATATCAAAATCCATAAGTAAATAATAAATTTACTATCCAACAATTTAAAGACACACTATTGGCAGTGAGTTTGGAAAAAATTTAAGAAAATTATAGAACAGAAAATAAAAGCAAATTATTTACAGTGTTGATGGACCATTAGTGGCATAAAAATTCTTCAAAAAAAAGTAAAAACATAACATCAAATTCTTAAAAAATAGGAATGAAAAAACTTAAATACTAAAAGTATTGGACCTAACCTACTTTCAAAACTAATTGTCCTACTTACTTGTTTCAATCAAATCTAGGTGAGGTTCTCGGTGAAATAAAATATAAACAACTAAGTTATGAAAAACTCAACATAGCTCTAAACTCCATAAAATTAAATAAAATTACAGGTATAGATGATACTTGTAACAATGTAGTATAAAACGTCTTTACAATAAAAAAAGAACTTATATTCAAAATATTTAAGTCATCAATTAAGAAAGGTGTTGATGCTAATACTGTACCAATACTTAAAAGTGGTCAATTGTACTTAAATACATACAGAACTATTTCCAGACTTCCTACTTTTTCTAAGCTTCTTGAACAAATAGTTTACAATAGATTGTACTATTATATAATTTGAAATAAAAATCCTAACAACTTGGCTTTCAAAAGCTCTACTCAACTAAACAGGCTATTTCAGATCTATTTAATAAGTGATTCTTTTGGTAAAAAAAAAAATTGCATTAGGATTCTTTATAGATTTGACAAAAGCAAGTTTGACATTGTATTCATAATAGCATTTTACCTAAAAAATAGAAAGCTACAGAATAAAAAATATCACCATCGATTGGTTTAAAAAATACCTTTGTAATAGACAACAATGTATTACTATTTATTAATGAGGTAGTAGTATATAGTGGTAGAGCGCTCGGTTTGTAAATGAGAGGTCTGATAATGGTAGTATAATGTTCAACTTGTTCTATTGCGCTGTTTTCCAAAATTAAAAACTATATATCTCTGTGTTTTAGAGTTATAGAGTTAAGAGAGAGTTTTTGCAACAATTAAAGTAGCTTCCTCGACTGTAAAGGCCTTCTCAGTCTTAGGGAGGTGAACAACACAAGCACATACACAAAATTCAGATAAATAAAAATATCCAGAACTATTAAAAGTAGAATGTGGTGCTCCTGAAGTTTTATTCTTGGACCCCTACTGTTTCTGTTAAAAATTAATGATTTTGCTAAAGCCTAAAAAAAACTTGATTTAGTAATATTTGCAAACAACACTAACTTATTTTAATCCTCAACATCATTAAAAGACCGTTTCAAATGTATGAACAATGAGCTTGAAAATCTGGTTGAAAGTAAACAGACTAATTCATCACTAATTACTAAAAAAACTAAATACATATTTTTCATTCAAAAAAAAAAATGTACCAATCATACTTCCCTCACTCAAAGTAGATAATATAAGCATTAATATACCTGTAACCATCAAACTTCTTGGAGTAATTGATAAAAGCCTGCCCTGGAAAACCTATATAAACACCTTGAACACCAAAATATCAAAAAATATAGGGATTTCTCAACAAAATAAAATGTCTCAAAAAAATTTAAAACCTCTTTATTTTTCCTACATCCCTACTTATCTTATGTATGTTAATATTATGTAGAAAAGTATCCACAAATCCAAATTAAATTCTTGTCCTATAAAACAAAAGCATCAAGACTAGTTTACAATAAAGATAAATTTAATGGTGTTACCCTTACTAAAAGCCTTGAATGCATTAAATGTCTACCAAATTAATGTTTATCAACAAACTCTATTCATGCTTAAATATAAACTTGGGTTTTCAGATAGATACACCACAAGAGAAACGAGGACATTTATATTGCCAATAAAAAAAATATAATTTTGATGATTTTTCAATTCATACCGGGATCTGTACCTTTATAACAAAATAATATCTGAAAGTAAAGAACTCAAAACAATAATTAATTTTGTTACTTTGAAAAAAAAACAAAAAAAAAACCTCAAACTCAAATCAAACCGTTTTATTAATATGTATTAAATAATATCAATTATTATCATCATTATCATTTAACAACGATGACGGCATAAACCATTAAATTACTCGACGATAAGACTCTTAAGTCTTCTAGGAGTTATCTTTTACAACAACACATTTTATATTAACAATCCTTAACAATACTATTGAATTTACTATTATTATATCTTATAAAATATATTATATTTTTTCAACAACAACCACAAGTAAGTCCCTAGTAATCCTTTAGTACGACTGACTTACATACATTTTTTAAATGCATAATTTAATAGCCAGAAATATATTTTATAAACTACAAATTTTTAAAAACATCATTATTACCCTTTTATGAACTTTAAATGTGTGATAAAGTAACACTTATATGAATTTTTTGTGGAAAATTTCTAAACTTTTTGTGGAATATAAACTAAAGATTTGTAAATATCGATTTATTAAAATATATACTGAGGCTTGTAAATAATAAAAAAAAACATAACCTAAGGCTTGTAAATAATACATAAAAACAAAGACCTAAATCCATATGGCTTTTATTTTGAAAAATAAAGAAAAAAGCAAAGAATAATACTTTAAAAAAAAACTTATTGCAACTTTAGAATTATACTATGATTTAACTATTTATAAAATCTAAAATCATTACTTTGAACTCATAGTCTTTTCAATTTTATCAATGTTTGATATATCCCATAGCAATAATATTCGAGATAAAGCTGTCAATCCTCCCAAATGACAAAACACTTTTTGATCATTGATATTCTAAATGCATCATTTTAAATAAATATTTCACCATTTTAAATAAATATTTCAAACAAATCCAAAAAAAATTCTCCCAGTTTATAATAATGAAAACATGTCTCAAAACAATTAAAAATTTTGGAACTTTTCTTTAGAACATAAAAGATAAGTTCATAAGTGTAATTATGCTCAAAGTTTTCAACTGTCATCATAGACACATTTAATTATGCTCAAAATTTTAAACTGTTACTATGATACATCATAGACACATTTAAACTTCTTATTTATTATTACAACATTTAAAAAATTATTAAAACTAAAAAATAGGACTGTTAATAAAATTTTTAACTTATTCTTAGATTTTTATTATTAGGATGATTAAATTATTACATTCTTAGATTTTCTTTTTAACCAGTTTTGTGTTTATTTATCAATAAACACAAAATGATGCAACTTTTAAACTTATAACTCTAAATGGTTCAAATGTCTTGTAATTTTAGAAAATCAGACTATTTTATCTTATTTTTTGACTATGACTTCCATTACAAATTTTAGAGCATAGAACATAGAACATTTAGAATATAGCCATATAACTTGAGTTCTAGTGTGAGTTTTATTATAGATTTTATAACATAAGCATTTTCATAAAATTCTAGTGAAAGGAAAAAGCTGACAACTTGTTATATATGTATTAGACTAAAACTAAATCTAAAAATAAAAATATAAAAAAAAAAAAAAAAAATTAAATTTTAGATAAATATTTGATTTTAAAATAGTGCTACATCTTATGTTATAATAGATTGTACTATTACTTAATTTGAAATAAAATCCTAGCAACTTGGCTTTCAAAAGCTCTACTCAACTAAACGTGCTATTTCAGATCTATTTAATAAGTGATTCTTTTGGTAAAAGAATCAATTATTAAACAGATCTAAAATAGCCTTTTGAGTGTGATATGCAAATTCTCATGGAGCTGTTGGTTCATAAAATCCAACTATCTCTTTAAGATTAAGTAGACAGCTTGATTGTAAATAATAAATGAAAACTACGTTTAATAAAAAAAGAACTTACTGAACCATCAAGTGAGCGCATAATTTCATTTAACGATTTATCCAATGCAGAAACTTTATTTTTTGGCCAAACAACATTAGAATGTCCTTGTAAAAGATTGGTAATATCCTTTATTGATTTTTGAAGCCTGGAAATCAAAACAAAAACATAAATAAAAAAAAGATAAAAACAGAAGACAATCAAAGAAAATTGAACAGATAAAAACAACATACTTTCCTCGCTTCAGTGAATCAATACCATTTAAATTTGATTGATACGAAGCTTCAAAATCTTTAGCTCTAAATAAATAATAAACAAACATATCTAAACAAATGATTAACCTATCAGAACTTTTTCCATGACAAAAAAAAAAAAATTTCTAGCTGTTTCAAAAAAAATAAAAATAAAAAAAATAATTATAACAACTCAGAGAATGGTTTCAATAAAAAATATGAATGTGTTTAAAATGAGCTTAATATCTAAAAATATTTTAAATATTATTAATATATTTTTAAAATGTTAAGGTAGTTTTTTTTATTATCATTTGTCGGCTTTTTGCTATTTTAGATTAAAAAAAACTTTTTTATTTACTATATAAATATTGCATAGTATAAGTAAAAAAAAACAAAACATTTAATGAATAAAATTAAAAAAATCTCAATAAACAAATTTGTAATAAAAAAAAGCACTCCTGTATAAAAAACTAAGAAATTTTTTAGATACATAAAACCCTTTTAAAATAAGCTTTTTAATTGCGGATTGTAAACTTTACAGGGATAAAAGATTTTCGATTGTAGCAATACAACTGTACTACTGTACAACTGAGTCTTGATTATAACAAAATAATATGAATGGTTCCAGTTAAAAACAAAAATTACAGTTAAAAAGGTAACATGTGATATCTGTAAAAAAATTTAAAAGCAGAATAAAATTTTTGAATGAGCAAACTTTATTTGATTATTTATTTCAAAGATTAGTTCACAAGACAAACTTAATCTAAAATATCAGTTGCCTACTGTTAAATATGGAGAAGAAAATGTTATGGTTTGGGATATTTCACCCATGAATATGAGAGTCTCATTAATGTTATATAAATTATTATAGACCAGACAGTTTATTTATACATTATGAAATATGTTAAGCTGCCACATTTAAAGTATAAAATGACTCGCAAATAAATTTTATAAAAAAATAGTGATTCAAAACATTGTGCCAGATCTATTAAGGAATACAAATAATCAAAGTTCTTGGATGACATTTATAGAGCCCAGACCTCAATCCTATTGAACATTTATGGGAGTACATCAATAGTTAGTTGGTAGAAAATTAACCAAAAAAAAAACAATTTATTTGCTTTGATTAAAAAATATTGAAATAACATTCTTCAGGATATTCTTATTAATTTAGTTGATATGATTTCTAGTTGCTGTGATACTGCATATTGATGTGATACTGATAAGGCAAATGTATATGGGTGATACAGATAAGGCAAATTTTACACCATTTACACCATTTACATCATTTTGCTTTACACCACGCTTTACACCATTTACATCACTTACACCATTTACATCACCACGCTTTACACCATTTACATCATTTTGAGGAATAAAAGTTTCATCTAGCCTAATATCATCTATTAGAATGTCACTATTTTCATTTAACATGTTAACAATAGTAAAAAGTATCAATAAATTTCTTATTTAAAAGAATTTTGATCCTTTCTATAAAAATATTTGTGCTATTCTAAAGTGCATAAAAGAATTGAATAATTTAACAAATAACAGACAAAATCAAAACTTTTTTAATGCTTTTGTTAAGAAAATTTTGTAAATTTTGTTAACAAAATTAAACTCAATACAAATTATCAAAACAAACATAAATAACAATCCTAGTACTTATTCAAAAAACATAACTGTATTTTACATAACTGTAAAGATTAAATTTTTTATAAATGTTATTAATTGGTAACATGTATTACTTGTAATTAAAAACATATATAAAAACAAAAGATTTTATAAACTTTGTTTAAAATATGCATTATATTTTGTAGAGTATTATCTTTTACATAAACGTCTTAAAGAAATTTATAAATTACCCAATGATTATCACTTTAACAACAATGTTAATCCAAAAGATAAGTTAAACATTTAGTATCTTTGTATAATTGAGTTTCAATCTCCAAGTTTAATATTTAAGTTATACATTTTTTTTAATATACTAGAACAGCCTAAGTAAATGATAATGAGCAATGAATGTAACAAAATAAGCAAGGCATAATATGAGCAAAATGAACAATATTTAATAAGAAATTTATTCATATTTTTAAAGTTAATTTAATAAAAATAATAAACATTTTATATAACTATGAGTGTAAAAAATGAATAACCTATAGTTAAGAAAGTTTACCAATAAAAAAGGGTTTAAATCAAAGTTAACAGATATGGTTTAGGCAAGGCAAAATAACAGTTGTTCTGATGTAACCTAGTAATATAACTTTAAATAACAAAAAAATTATTTAAACTTAAATACCAAAGATCAAAACAAATAAAATTAACAACAACTTTGATGTATAATTAAATGAAAAAGTTACAAAAATGAATTAAAAATAAATAATACCAACGAAAAAACAGCAACAAAATTATATATAATTAAAAATCTTTAATTCTTAAATAATTAAAGATATTGATAACTTTGTTATTGGTTCTTCTCTTGTGCATCCCTGCATGGATGAGCCTTCCATTTAAAAGGCCATTTAAATGAGCCTTCCATTTAAAATTGTGTCAGGTCAGGAGTATGGTCTTCATGATCATCCTGCTACTGGTAACATGTAACCCAGTGCAACCTGTTCCATGTTCTGCTGCCTTGCAGGATTTGCTATCTAAGCAAAGGCTGGAAGGAGTGTTCTTCCTGTCATCAGTACTATCTTATATCAGTCATGCCTATAGTAATTTTTTTACGGGTGAGCGCGGTGTTCGCTCACCCGTAAGTAACTTTATGTTTATGTTTATGTTTTTGATGTTTTTTTATGTATGTTTGTGTTCTGTCTGAACCTCTGGCACGGTGTTCGCTCACCCGTAAGTTACTTTATGTTTTTTATGTATGTTTGTGTTCTGTCTGAACCTCTGGCGCGGTGTTGACTCACCCGTAAGTTGATTTATGTTTGTTTGTGTTCTGTTTATACTCTAATGCAGCGTGAGCTCAGTAACTAACTACTTACTCCAACTACAAAACGTACACTCACCTTAGACTCCTGTATTTATTTAGATGCAGTGTTTTTCCTTATGCACTTCCAAAAAGTCATGCCTGGTTTTCTCAAAGTACTGTTGCGGGAAGTAGCTCCTTTTAACTACTCCAGGTCAGGTCAGGATAATCGAGATCAATCTTGCTACTGGTATCACGTAACCCAGTACCACCTGCCACAAGCCCTGCTGCCTTGCAGAGTGTGCTCTTCTTATGCAAAGGCTAGGAGAAATAAACTCCGACTAAAAATTCCCCTGCCTTGGGGCTCTTGGTTGAGTAAAGGCTAGAGATGGTGTCTCGATAAAAACACTCATCTTGGGCAGATGTTAACTGCATCCAGCTAAACATCCCCTGCCTTGGGGCTCTTGGTTGAGTAAAGGCTAGAGATGGTGTCTTGATAAAAATACTCATCTTGGGCAGATGTTAACTGCATCCTGCTACTGTCTTGTAGAAGGCCTCCTAGGCAAAGACTTTAGGGGTAAGCAGAAAAATTCTGCTAACCAGCCTCGAACCCCTTCTTCATCTATTAGGCTGGCGTAGATGTAACCTGTGTTACATTGTTTCCTGCCTAGGATGATGAATGCTGGATCTCCTTGACTCTACTCATAGAATTTTGCTTATGCCTCTATGATAATGGCTATGCAACTCTTCCTGTTATCTCCATATGAGGGTACAGCTCTAAAACTCAGTTTAATGGTTCTGAGGCCGGCTGGTAGTAAGGTTTCCCGAACTCTGTGGTAGCTCTCAGAGAGGCTGATTCCATCAACAGCTGCAAAATATCAGAGTATTAACAGTGCCATGTTGCGCATGGATGGTGTCCCTGTTAATGCTTTTGGTGTGCATTGTCAAGGCCACATAAGGAGCCCTAAGTCACGGCTTAGGGTTAATTAACAGGACTGAGACAACTGCATAGCTCATTGATTAGGAGGCTGTGCTCTATCTATGAATGAGTCAAGTTCTCATTAAACCCAAATCATGACCAAAGTAACCAAAAATTTAAAACCTAAAAAACCATCCCCACCACCTAAATATTTTAATATATCTTTTACAAATATTCACGGTCTACGAAGCAACTTTCCATCAGTAGAGTCTTACCTCCTGCAAAATTCACCAGACTTGCTTGCACTCAGTGAAACAAATTTAAGTTCTGCAATTCCTTCTTCAGATGTCAGTGTTGATGGGTACTATCCTTTGATTCGTAAAGACTCCAATAGTCACATGCTAGGTTTAGGGGTATACATACGCATTAATTCCCCTATTTGTCATGAAATCAGGTTCGAATCCTTTGACCATTCTTTTATGTGCTTTCGCCTAGCACCTCTTCACTCTATCACCTTTCTCTTTGTTCTTTATCGTTCTCCTTCTTCCCATGATTGCACTCTTTTAGATGCTATCTCTGATCAAATTGACCATGCCCTCTCTCTTTACCGCTCTGCCAATATTGTTGTTGTTGGTGATTTTAATGCCCATCACACTGAATGGCTTGGCTCTAACACCACTGATCCTGCTGGCACTAAAGCCTTTAACTTCTGCGTTTCTCAATCTCTTACTCAGATAGTTAACTTTGTGACTCGTTTTCCTGACAACCCTAATCATTTACCTTCACTCCTTGACTTATGTCTTGTCTCTGACCTTAGCTTATGTTCAGTTTCTCCCTTTTCTCCCTTAGGTGGTTCTGACCATGCAATGATCTCTATAAATCTTTCTTCTCGTACTTCTTTTTTGGGCTCACCTTATCATCGCACCACCTACTACTACCCTAAAGCTGACTGGGATTCCTTTCGTGATTTTCTTCGTGATGGTCCTTGGGCTGATGTTTTTTCTCTCTCAGCTGACAAATGTGCCTCCTACGTAACCTCCTGTATTCAGGCTGGAATGGAAGCTTTTATTCCTTCTTGTCGGTTTCAAGTCAAGCCTCATTCTACTCCATGGTTTTCTCCTTCTTGTGCGGCTGCTATATCCAATCGTAACCATTTTTTTCATCTTTTTCAAAAGAACAACTCTCTTGAGAACAAACGGCTATTTATTATTGCAAGAAATCGATGTAAAAAGGTGC